GGGTGTAGCACAACTGTTCTGACTGCAGGAGGCGCTAGTCGTGGGCCAAGTCTGCAAGCATCTCTCTGTGTCTCTCACACCCCACAGTCCTCCCCCCAGCCCCCACCCGCATCCCTGCCTCCATCACCCAGCACTGCAGAAGAGGCCTCTTGTCTCCCCCGCAGTCTGCAAGGCCTTTCTTGAGCCTGCCCCCCCTCCCATCCACACAACTCCACCGCCTCCTCTCTCTCTTTCTCTTTCTGTATCTGCTGGTGTTATTGTCCCAGTTTGTGTGGCACCTTGCTCCAGATGACCTCTAGCGACATGCAATATTCAGAGGATGAACGAGATGAAACCTTGCACCCACGACATCACGAGCATCACTTCCACTGGCATATTCACATATTTTGCTATTATTTAGCAGCCCACCTCTTTTTCTTTTTCTATGTTGTTTTCATTGTCAGGAATCTCATGCTGGCTCCTGCAGGTTTCCCACAGAGTGCGCCATTAACAACTTCATCGCAGTTATTATTATAGTCCAACCTGCCCACGTGTTCCTTCTCCTCTGCTCCTCACCTCACCACCTCTAACCTGTCCCACCTTTCCCTCCTTCTCTCTCCTGTCTCTCATGCTCTCACCGCTCAGGTGGATGTGGGCAGCAGGTCAGGTAGGAGCAAAATGTTCCACTGACCTGTGGCCAGTTCAGCCAATTAGCCTTCCTCCTGTTAAGTAGATGGGCTCTTTTTGTCTCAGAAGCCAGTACCTCTTTGTGTCTGACAGCTGGAGGAGAGAGACAGGGTCTCCCTCTCTTTCTCTTCCAGCTGTAGGGGGCGCCAGTCACTACACCGGCACCACCACCAGCAAAACCTTGTCTTGCTACCACCCCCCAGTACTTCCTACCCTGTTTCTACTTCCCACTTCTCCACCACCCTCGCCCTTCCTCTCCTCCCTCTGTGACTCTCTTTTTCTTCTTCACATCCCCTCCCCCCAGCTCCTTCACCCACCCCTTCCATTCCCTTCTTCTCCCTCTCGCCTCCCTTCCCCTCCCCTTCCCCCCTCTGAAAGGCTGTTAAACGCTCCTTCTGCACACAGCACTGCAGATGAGGCCTCCGCCTCCCCCACAGTCTGCCAGGCCTCTCTCTCTACTCTCTCCTTCAGACCCCCCCAACCCACCACCACCTCTCCTTCCCTCCCTCTCCCTCACTCCTTACAACAGCATAGCAACACTGACTAGCCAGCCAAGGAGAGTCTTGTCTCTCTCTCCCTCTTGCACTGGGGTAATTTCCCTCCATTTTAGATTCCTCATCCCAGGGCAGCAAGGATAGGATTTTAATGAAATACTTGGGAGGGGGAATATATGTATCTGATCTCCCTCAGTTTGCCTGCACTGGTAGAGCACTGTGACCCACTACATTTAACTAAGTCCCATCTGATTGATTCCTACTTTGGCAGAAGAACTCTCATCCAATGTGCAGAGGGTTAATAATGCAATGCTCCCAGTGCTTTTCCACAACAAGTTAATGGTAACATGCAGACTGGATGTACTTGGTACGGCCTGAGCACACAGGTATATTGTAGCTGTCAAACACCTCACATGGAGAGCTGTGTTTCATCTTTTTCTTCCAGTGGTGAACATTCAAAACCCTTAAGTTGTGTGACGAGGCGTCACCCCGGGTCACCCTACCATCAAAACACAGTTAAATCCTTTGATATGACACCACTAACTGCTCCAGTTTTGTTTTTATAATCAACAATATACTGATGACATCATTGTTTGACTGCACCTACGACACCAGAGAAAAAGCTCTGGCTCTGTCAGGCGAAATTGGTGATTTTTTTTCTTGTATTATTATTTTATGGTTACCAAGCAATGCTGGATATTCCTGGAACTATTTCTGGCAACACACCAGAAAAAAAGCCTGTCTTAACTTCAAGGTGCTCACCCTTTATGCTAAGCAGAGGATAAATCTGTTTCTTCCACAAGATTTTATTTTAGGATGACATTCCCCCACTGTTTTCTCAAATTACAGCAGAATGCAAACCTCATTAAGATAATGGATATACCAAGATATTTAAGATCTGACTGAAGAAATATTTACTGGATAAATGTTTTGAAATAAGATCAAGTTTATGTGGACAGATGTCTCACTGTCATCACTGGAGCTTGCACACTTTATTTATTTTAGATAACTTAATGTAGAGGATGTCAGCACATGACAGTAACCCACACATTTTGAAATGGATAAAAACATGGCAGTCATATTTTGTGCTAGTGTAATAAGAAATTTTTTCTTTAGCTGCCTGAATATATTGTCTGCTGTTACCTTACTTTATCAGGAAACTCACAACCATAGGTGATATGTACGTGTGCTTCTCCAAAATCATCTGGAAACTGGTATATTTATTGAGCATGTTCACACCAAAGCTGCTCTGGCCCACTGAGGCATAGACACAGAGCCTCTGGCTCCGAACCATTTTGGGGCAGAGTGCCCTGCTGAGTAGGTATGCTTTGTCTGCAACCACGTTTAAGTAGGTGGTCATGACCCGGAGTTTCCTTGAAGAACACTGAATTATAACAACATAATCAAATCAATTGAAAATCTGATTAAGTTACAGCGACCCAAAGAGCAATAGAGCAATGTACATAAATGTTGGTGTGTTATAAATGTACCACAAGTTCACATTTCTTAATGAGACCTAAATCCTGGTACAGTGTGGTCAATATATTTCAGTAGTGAGTAATATGTGGCTTGTGGCCTGTACAAGTGAATAGAGTGATACTTATGCCAGCTTACAGTTTTACTGCGGGAACTGGCAGCTATTTTTTTTCCAGACTGCATTTATGGACAGGCTGAAGTGGTAAAAGAAAACAAAATGAACAATTTTCTATATCTCTAATGATCCGGTGGCCATTCAGATTGATCTCAGCTAAACCTGTTGGGTTCTGCTCCCACCTGGAAAACCATAGCAGCTTTTCTAAACAGCCATCAATGCACCATTAACAGTATTTTATCCATCATTAACCATCAGACCTTTAGCTAGTATTGAGAATGGTCCATCTACAGCACCTTTTTTAATCAAAGATTTGACCGCTACATGAGTTAAATACCAACTATTTGTCAAAGGAAGTTCAGACACTTGTGTAAAATAAGATGTCTCCAGTTCTTCCCCCTAACTCACTAAACATTGCAGAGTACAGCACACGGGAAGAAGCACCTGTGTCAGTTTTAAGAAATCAGACAGGAATTGAAGCGTCATACTTTCATTCATGGAGTAGTTTCCGTTTCAAACAAGCCTTACTTATGTTATAGCAGGCACTGATGCAACCTCTTAGGATCTCCTCCCTTTAAGCCCCCTGTAAAACAAAAGCTTTGAACAGCAGGTAGATCCTCTCTGACATCATACTAAGCCAAGAGCAGAAAAAAAAATACTGAAACACAGGGATCACTTGTGCCTCACTGACTCAATTATTTGTTAAATAATATGTTAAATATGAGGCTCCACCACTGTAACAGTATATTTTAGAGCCTGACTGATACATCAGCCGTGCTGATATTAGCCATGTGCCAGTGTGTCATTTAAATCGACCAATAAATAAGAATTAAAAGAGAAAAAAAAATAAAGATGGGAGAAACACCCTTCACCCATGTTATTAGTGACTGCATAATTTGTCCAGCAGAGGGCATTCTGCAAATTCTCCATTGGTAACACATATTTGGAACACAACAATCCTTCTTGTCACAAGATTATTTTGTACCTTGGTAAGGACTCCTAAATAACACAAATGCAATGCAGTAAGACTTGATACATTATATGTCTTAAAGAAAAATGATATATCCACTGGTAACAAATACTGGTATCGGTCTTAAAAATTCTACATCAGTCAGATTATATGGCAGAAAATAAAGCTTAATAAATCCCTTTTAAGAAGAAATGCATTCAAAGCTTCAAAGTCTCGAGTATGTGAAAAAAGAAACCAGTGTCGCTTTGACTGTCTGAGAAGCACAATTACAGCACTTTATTGTTCATAAATGCTAAAGTGGAAAATGAAAACAAATACACACAATTCAAAGAACACATATAAAACACAATATCTTTTTTGGAAAAAAAAATGCTTTCACTATTGTGGATGTCAGTTTGCTGATTACTGTCCAGTCTTGAAGGGGGAGCAAAACATCGAGTGAAAATTGTGAAAATAGAAGGCAAGTACAGTACAGTCAGGGATAAGGAGCAAGAGGCTGCAAAAAGTGGCTGAAATGCTGCTTTCCACTATCATTCCACAAAAGAATTCATTAAAAATTAAAATAATATCTAAAATCCAAACAAAAAAAAACTGTTCGTTTATTTATAGATATATTATTTTGCAAAGAAACTAGTTTTGGTTAAAAAATAAACATACCAGAAAATACCAGCCACCAAAGCAACACCTATTGTATGTTAAGCATACCAATGTAGAACATATGAGGCTACCTTACACACAGGTAATAGCAAATATTTAAGAGTACATGTACAGCATCATGTGTCCAAACATGTCTAAAAGACTGTACAAATTTACACTACCTATCTGAGGAGAACTACATGAAAAATGATGGATTAGTTAGTCAGCTTCAAAGCCTGACCTCAAAACATCTCAGTATTTTAAGCCAAGCTCAATGGCTACATCACCGTTAGGACTCCACCCCAATGTACTAAAGTATATAGAAGGCAAAAAACTTTGTTTGGTGTAACATCAGTATCTTTACACCTTCCCTCCCCTGCTCTGGGGGGAAAAACAAAACAAAAAAAACAACATTTAAACTTTGTTCACAAATCTTTACATGAGTCCTAGCTGCTGCCCTTAGAAGTCATTGGATGGCTTGTGTTCGAGTTCCCTCGTCGCTCCCTCCTTCACAGATGCCTAGTGTTGCTGTGCAGTGTCCTTCAGTTCAGGCGAGGCGATCAAATCTTAAGTGCCTCTCTTGAGTGTGCGAGTCTTTTGATTTTTTATCAGTCACACCTGCTGCTTGCCCAGCTGGGCTGCGTCTCTCCTGCTTCTTGCTGATGATGGGACAAACTTGGGAATGATGATGGGTAGAGTGTCTCTTGCTTTAGCACTCTGTCTTCCTGAGCCCTCTGTGGGTCCAAAACCATTCTCGACGTGCACCCCTTCATCTTCATCGTCGTCATCCTCATCCTCATCGTCGTCATCATCGTCGTCGTCTGAGAGATCATCTAGATCTGAAACAATCTTGGCCCTTGTCCTTGGCTCCATTCTTTCCTTAGCTCCAGTAAGCTGCTGGTTACCATGGAGATGTACCTCTCCCTCTGCTTCCTTGTTATCCTCCTGCTGCTCTTCCTCATCACTGTCAGAGTCGATAGCTATAGGTTCGGAGAGGTCTAGAGGCATTTTCTGTGGTAAGGTGCTGTTGATTGTCTTGGGTTGGTCTTTGCTGGCACTGTTGGGATTTGGGGCAGATGGCTTTGCTTTAGTATCTTCCACATTCGCAGCTGGCTTTCTTTTTGGTAGTGGAGCTATGCCACCATTAGCAGCTATAAGCTCCCTGTGTCTCTGCAGAGCCTGCTCCGATAGTCCCATATGCATCCTAGATGTCCGCCGTTTGCCACGTCTGCCCTCGCACACGCCATCCTGACCGAACGCCAGCTCGTGGCTAACTTTGCTGAGCTCATGCATACTGAACCCAAGCAACACGCTGGCGCCCTGGGTTTCACATTCCTGTACGCACTTCCTCCTTGTGTTGACAAAGTGGCTAGCGATGTCAGACTTCCACAGCCACAGGCTGGCTGCCAGCTTCTCCACCTCCCTTTGTGTAGGATATGGTGCTCGACTGAAATACTGCGTTAGAAATGCCTTCTTGGATTCGTATGACAGGTTTTCGTGTCCTTTGGGGTCAAGTGCCAGGACAACAGGTTCATCCGGGTTTTCTACAAATCCGGACGGACCATTGATATCCCTGGGGTGGGCCCTTTCCCCAGGCGGTCCTGGCCTCCTTCGTTTTGGTGCACTAGCCTCAGAGCTATCAAAGCTGGCCCGTTTGAGGGCACTGCTCTGAGCCGGACTGACCCGAGAAGAATGGGCTGCCCGGCTATCTTGCCCATTCTGGGACTTCCCTACACCTCGACAGTGCACCAAATGTAGTGTGATGGTGGAGGCAGTCATGTTACTTGTATAAACTCCCAAGCAGTGAATACACTTGTAAGTCAGTTTCTTTTCTACTGGGTGAACTGTTTGTATGACCTGATGCCTCTCTCTCAGATGGTGGGCCAGTGAGTCTGAGATTGGGCCTTTAAGGATAGAGAAGCAAAGAGGACATAAAGTCTTGCCCACATCCCTCTTGTATGGTACAGATGCCTGTGGGGCAATCTTTGCTGGTACACTGTCAGCAGCCCCTGAAGGTGTTTTGGGTGGGTGCTGAGGCATTAACCTCTTACCTGATATTAGCGAGGCAGACAAGGCTGATGATACAGAGGAGCTATTTTGAGCATGAAATGCCACTGACTCCTCAGGGGCATCTCTCATGTTGTATGTAGTAACAATCAACTGAACGTTTTTGGGATTACCCTGCTGCAAAGTGAGGTCAAAAGTCAGAGGAGAGTCTGTGCGTGGGCCAACTCTCTCATCTGGGTGTGACAGCCGCATGTGGGCCACCATCTTCTCAACGTCATTGAAGGTTGCACGGCAGTGTGGACAAGACAGACCGTGGATCAACATGTGGTTTAACAATGTGTCACTGGGGAGATAGCGGTTACAGTAGAGACACTTGCTGGTGAAATTGTGAATTTTCATGATGTAGTTGGCCACAGCAGGCACCTTCTCTGCTTTGTGTTCCTTCTCAAAATGAGAACTGTACACATTCTCCGGGAAGAGCTCATTGCAGATGGTGCAGATTTTCCACTTCTGGGTATAGGATGTGCCAAGGACAGATGAGCCACCTTTCTTAGCCGTAACAGAGGCTACAGTAGTAGCTGCTGCTTGAACACGTGAACCAAGAGGGTTTGATTTGAGTGAGGAAGAAGCACCGAGCATAACTGGGCTCCGTAGGCTGCCACCAGAAATAAGCTGCTTTGCTGCGTGTGACTGCTGTGGCACAGAAACTTGGGCGTTACCGGGCAAAGTAACTCGAACTTGCTGGCTGCCAATAGAGAACGGCTGCGTGGTACCAGCCTTTAATCCTATAGCATCGTGTTTCAATCCCGACAGAAGACTCTGAGAGTTGAAACCAGTCTTTGATGCCATGACAAGTCGACCCAGCTGCTGTGAGCTAGGAGACCTGGTAGAAGCCATTACTGCACCTTTAGGGCCCATCCCAATGATGGTTTTGTCTCCTTGGGTTTTTGGGGGCATCATGATGATGGGTTTGGGACGGGGGACGATCACGCTGGTGTGTCCAATCATTGCAGTGACCTGGTAACCAATCCTCTCGTGGTCCTCAATGACATGTTGGACTAGTGCCTCATAGGTCCGTGGAACAAACAGACACTTCTTGCAGTGAATCTGGTTGCTGCTCACGTTGTTCGTGTTAGTACCGTCTGTGCCACCGTTGTGAGCATTAGCCTTGTCTCCTGGTTTCACAATGTAGGGCTGGGCCACCTGCTGAAAGTGTTCCCGATAGATGTGCTTTCGCACTACATTGTACAAAGGGTCCCTGTAGGTGCACTTTTTGCAGTAGTACACCGCCTGTTCCACACTGTCCCCGCTTCTCTTCAGCAGCCCGTCCTTCATCATGATCCCACCAGCTCCCGCCATACCACCGGGGCCCTGCCGCACAGTGTTATTGGGCATGTGGAAAAGTTTAATGTGTGTTTCCAGAGTCTTTTTGTTGCCATTGTAAGTGCAGTAGGGGCAGTTGAGCAGAATATTGTTTTCAAAGTCCTCGCTGTGTACATTGCGGAAATGGCTTTTGTACGCAGAGAAGTACTTGGATGAGAAGAGGCAGCCAGAACAGCAGAAAGGTTTTGAGCGGTAGTCCTGGAGAGAGAGATGGTAGGAGACAAAAACAACAACAACAACAAAAAAAAAAAAAGGTTGTTTTTGTGATTTAAACAAATCATTATAATTATATATTATACACGTGTTTAAAATGAGAAAAAAAAAAAAATCGCAGTAATGTATTACAATATGTGCAAAAGAAGTTGCGATTACATGTCACACACCTGGGCTTTGGTATGCGATGGTTCCCACATACAGACATCCTCCCAGCTAGTGTGCTTTATATACACCTCAGGAGGAGTGAAGTCTTTATAGTCCTAGCAAACAAAGAATTTAACATAAATAAGTGAAAAGATTCAATCACTCAGCAGAACAATACTTGAATCTGTCACAAGACAAAGA